TTATAGTAAGGGTCTTCACGTTTTTTTTTCTCTCGTTTTAGAGGGATTTGTCGGTTGTATCGTACGTATTAGAGTCTTAACTAAAGAGTACTGTTTCTTGGGTTCATGACGTCTATCGAACATACAAACAGTGGTTCTGTTGATTGATCTCGTGCTTTGTCCGATTGGGATTTGAACCAGGGACAGTGATTGCTTCTTGGGGGGTATTAAATAAGGGCATTGTTTTCTAGGTACAAACGTCATTTGAACATATAAGGGATGGGTCTGTTGACTGTTCTTACGCGTTGTCGGTTGGGGATTTTAGCCTGGGTCTGTAACTTAGATGTTTTTTTTAAGATTTAAGTTGTCGTTATGTTGACTGTTCTTTCGTGGTGTCGGTAAGGATTTGAGCCGGGGTCTGCGGCTTAGACGGATCGTTTTTTTATCTGAATAGAAGTTGTTTTTCTTTAGTACTATTGGCGGAATTGTTTCTAGGCCCTCAGTTGTATCCGGCAGGCATTTGAGGATAGGTTAATAGTTGCGTTCCTTGACTTGGTTTTTTTCACTGTTCTGTTGAAGGTACCGTGTTTTCTAGGTACTTTATGGTGATGTTTTGACCCTTTTTTGTATCTGTCTCTTTTTTGTAGTATTGACTGTACATGTTATTTGTTGGGTTGTTCGACTTGGTCCTTTTCGCTGCGTAGTTACAGACTCAATGTTTTTTAGGGTTACATTTATTTTTGGGAGTAGAATACCGCTTTAACCTTTGCGCAGTAGTGGCATTGTGTAGCCTTGACTTGGTAGCATGGGATCTCCTGATAGATGGTATTTAGTCTCATAATGACGTGATCATGTTACCAACAACACTACGAAGCCCCTGACGATTCTAGTTGGCGGCCAGGTGAAACCGGTAGGGTCCAACGCCATGTTCGTGCTTAGTGTTTTTTCATTTTAACAAAGTCGTGTTCGGGACACGGTTGTCATCGTTTTCCTTTTTGGTTTCAACATTCTCTGTTCTTCCCCCTAATCTTCCACCGGTTTGATTCTCTTTTGCCAGTCTATTTCATTTTAACAAAGCCGTGTTCGGGACATGGTTGTCATCGTTTTCCTTTTTGGTTTCTACGTTCTCTCTTCTTCCCCCTAATCTTCCACGGGTTTGATTCTCTTTTGCCAGTCTGCGTGAGTCAAGTTCTGGATTGTTATCCTGTTTGTAGCACTGCTCGACAAAGGAGGACTTTTTTTGGGGGGGGAGGGGAAGCAAAGCAGAAGGCGTTGGGCTTACACCCTACGGGGCTTGCCACACAGGCTTTTGAACCAAGGCATTTTTCCAAAGGTGTCAGACTTTTTTCGAAAGTCTGCTCGTTGAAAGGACCCCCCCCCCTCGCCACACAGACTTTCGAAACACCCAGGCCTTTCGATATATGCACATTGGGGTCTGGCTCCACCGCTCACTACGCGTGTAAAACGAGAGTCTGAATTTTTGCCTAGAACATGGAAAGATACTTCGCCATAATTTTTGTGGTTTGTGCATGTCGAGAGTAGTGGAGCCAGGCCCTTGGAATCGCCCTTTTTTTTTTTTTTTTTTTGCCGACCGATCGACCGTTTCGAGTAGGCGTTCTCACAAGACCACTCTAGGTCTTTCGAGGAAATGGTCGTGACAGGCGGGCGGATCTCTCCTCTTCGAAACGACTTTCGAAGCCGGCCTATCTGACACCTTTCGAAACTTTTTCGAAAGAACTGGTTTCGAAAGGCTGTGTGGCGAAGACACCGCCTCGATTTTGCGCGTTTCGAAAGCCTGTGTGGGGAGCCCCTAAGGCTATCAGGCCACCCTGGGCTGAAAAGGCCACCGTTGTCAGATTAGACACAAGATTGAGGGCCTCGCCACACCAATGTCGAAACATCACGAAATTCGACATACGTCAGGAGATTGTCGACATTCCCTCTTTCGACAGAAAACCCCTCTTCGCCACACCGCATGTCCAAGTGAAGAACTCACGAGTTGTATGCACAAAAGAGACAAACTGGGGTGAAGATAGGACACGCGTTGGTGCGTTTTCTTTTTCGACATTTGGGCAAGAATTCGACATCCCATCGGACGACTGTTGAAAATGTCCAAGTTGCAGGCTGGGAAACAAGCCCTTCTCGATAGGAGGTGTCGAAACCCTTTCCCTCTCAGCTCCTGAATTTTTTTTGCATCTCGGATTTCGACATGCTGCGTGTGTGGCAAGGAGAAAATGTCGAAAAATCAGTTTTCGACATTGGTGTGGCGAGGCCCTGAATTTACTTCGGCTGGTTAGTCCGATGATAATGGGTCTCGCTGCACTACTATCCACTCTCCGCAAATTCGGAGAGTTGCCGGAGAGTTGCTGAACTCTCCGAATTCGCGGTTTTCTGCTCATCGCTGCACTTACTATCCGTGGTCCCACACTCCAGTTCGTGAGAACACTAGCAGACGAGGCGACAGCACTGGAGTACTTGGCGTCATCTGCATTTTGTCCGCCCCGACTCCAGGCACACTCTCTGAATTAGGAGCATTTTGGAGAGGCCCGCCGAGGTCCATCCGGAAAACCTTCTTTGCAGGCTGGGAACTATCCGCGCGGATAGTTCTTCTCGACGGTGGTATCTGACAGCTATCAGAACATTTGCAAAGGGAGAAATCAGAACATTTGCAAAGGGAGAAATCGGATAGTTAGTGCAGTGATGCCGAACTCTCCAATTTCGGAAAGTGGATAGCAGTGGAGCGAGACCCAATACCTCAAGGCCATGGCCCTTTTGAAAAAAAAAGAAAGTCGTTGGGCTTACAAGAAGGAAAAAAGAAAAAAAAAAAGAATTCGGTCATCGCCACACCACTTTTTTTCTCGATTTATGCGTGTCATCCTTTGCGCAGGGGCCATGCTAATCTTCTCTGGCCACACCACTTTCGAAATGTGCAAACTGAGCCATTTCTCGATTTATGCGTGTCATCCTTGCGCTGGAAGCCCGTGCAAAAAAAAAAAAAAAAAAAAAAAAAAAAAAAAAAAGTACAAAATGGGAGTGAGCTTCGCCCTAGAAAATGGCCAGATGCACCCGCCACATTTTTGTCTGTTTCACATTTCGAGAGTGGTGTGGCGAGGCCCTTCGTCCGTCTAACCACACATATTAGGGAAAAGTCATGAAATCTCCCCGCGACATAACCTTTGTATCCATTTCCCCCCAAACGGGGAAAAAGGTGCCGCAGGCCCGAAAATCACTTTGGGCGTCAGTTTTGCACCCTTCAAACCACCTTCCCGCCATCTTTACACACCGGCCGTTACCGGCCCAGGGGCAAGGTCCCACTTGCGCAAATTAGGAGATTTCGGCCGTTGATCTTTGTTATCTACGGTCACTATCTCTTAATTCGTGCAAATGTTACCTAGCCCCAGGGTGCAAAAATAATACCACAAGTGGCCGTTACCGGGGGCAAGGTCCCCCTTGCACGGATTAAGAGAACCTAACCGTTGTTCTTTGCTATCGACGGTCAGTATCGCTTAATTCGTGTAAATGGGACCTAGCCCCGGCCCAGCCAGGGTGCAAAAATGATACCAAAAGTGAGCTTGGGACCTGCGGCACTTTTTTCCCCGTTTGGCGGGAAATGGATACAAAGGTTTCGTCGCGGGAAAGTTTTACGACTTTTCCCGACAGATTACGGCGAAGCCCAGTGGAATAGACGAGGTTAAGGGCACCTCTACACCACTGCACCACTGTCGAAATGTGCAAAATGAGAATGAACTCACCGCCAGAACATGGCCAGATGCGCCCGCCACATTTTTCTCCCTTTTCACATTTCGAGTGCTCCCCTGAAAGAGCTCCGAACTTGCCGGGGGCCGTCATGCCTTCTCGATAGTGGCGCTCGTTGAGGGAAACGGTTTCGCGTACACATCAGCGTATTGAGCCTAATAGCAATACGCCACGTCAGCATACTCTCGGGATACTCAGAGCGGGCCTGCCTGTTTTCACAAAGCTGTGAGCGCGATCGTAGCCGGAATTGGGGTTAGATGCAGACCAGAACTTGCGAGTGATGACTATGCGCTCTGTGTACCGGAAACACAACGAAGACGGCGTCCATCGCAAGCAGGGATGCCCTTTCCGCAATCGTGTAAGCGGACTGTCGCCAGAAGTAGGGATCGTTAATTAGGGCAATCATGGAATTGGACGATCAATACAGTAATGACATGTGTTATGTCCATAGATTGATCTACTAATTAGTGCTGATTACCTTCTGTGAGTATTCGCCCGATTTTTGCGTCTATCACGAGTACGATTGCGCGCACAGGCGCGGGGTGAGCATTGGGCCGTTAGAGACGCGATCCCGACTTCGTGATCGTGCGCAGGTTGTTAGTGAGTCAGCGATCTGTGGTCCTGATCATCGATTTACTGTATTTATTGCTTGAGACTGAACTGAACGGCATGATTGGTGTCGATGTGAGTCAGTTGAACTGTCGATGCAGAGACAGACAGACCACGACCTACTTATTGCTTGCGATATGGATGATGTCGATGCGAGTGTGCATTGAAGCATTGCTTGCGACTGCACGGAAATGCATCATCGATTCATCGGTTGCGACTGCACGGAAATGCATCATCGATTCATTGGTTGCGATATGAACCAAGTCGATGCGAGTGTATCGAAAGGAATTGAAGGCAAGATTGATGTCGACCGACGGGGACACAAGGGGAGCGGAGTTGCCTTCCAGTCCCTTGATTGTCAGGATCTGCTTAGTAGTACTCGTATTAGTTGTGCGAGAGAGGGCTTTTTGTCAGAGTATCGCAAGGCATTTCGAAAGGTACTACTGTAGTTTGTGCACAGCGGCAATCGAGTTACACTGTCACATAGTACAGTAGTTCTTTATGAGGGTAGCATAGTAAAAAATTCCGAGACCTGACGATGTCATTCGCTAGGATGGAGAGAAGAGAGCTACTCCCTGTGGATGGGAGCGGCAAGGAGGGAGGTGTCGTACACAAGGCAAGGCAATCGATCTCGCGTCTGCTCTTCTTGCTTCTAGTAACGGCGTGGTTGTGCGCCGCCGAACTTCAACGGCTTACTGGAGGTGGTGCCGGGAGAGAAGGCAGCGCTGGTGCAGGTGCAGGTGCAGGAAGGAGGACAGAGGCGAAGGAGAGACCGCAGACGGCATCCTCATCGTCATCGCCATCGTCATCATCACCATCATCATCATCAGGAGCAGCGGCAGCAGCAGCAGCATTGGAGAATGGACGTTCGTGGCATGGAGACGCTGTTCATCGCCAGATGGCAGAGAAGACGGGATCCCGATCGCTGGGGGCGGTCACGGGGTCGACTCTTGTTGTGGTAGATCCCGTTCTACTCTACCATGGCAAAGCGGACACCGTCTTCGTCTGGCCGGGCCAAAGCCCGTTCCATGCGATGCTGAACAGATCTTTATTCTGCAGTTCGATCATCAAGAGCATCGTCGTCTCTCCGGACGGTCGTTACTTGTACTACAAGCTGGGTGAGGCGTGCCATGACACGTCCGTCATGAGGATGACCGACGTGCGTTTCTCGCTTCGAAAGGTTAATCTAACGGCCGGAGCGGAGGGAGACGCGAAGGAGGGGGCCGGTGGGGAGCTGATCACTTACTGGTGGGCCGCTGAGGATGCGAGCGGCGGCGCATCTCTTTATCCAATAGTGGATGACGAAGACAACAGGATGACCCCGGCTATGGCGTACTTAATTGGCAGCATGGAGATCTCAGGTTCGGGACGACGGCTAGTCGTCACCGCGACGCCGGGATCCCATCTCGAGTCATCGGTGGTGATGGTCGACACGGAAGACGGGCACAGGGTGGGATTCGAAATAGAGGCGGACCGCTTAACGAGCGTGAGCTTCAGTCGGACGACCAGACGTCTCTACCTCTCCGACGTGGCTGTACCTTGTCGTATTCTCTCTGTTGCGATGTTGACCGGAGATGATGAAGATCCTCCTGTCGGTCAAAGGACCCCCTTCGTGACGGAGGTTACTTTCCCAACCACTGGCGAGTCTCCCAACATATCTGATCCGTGGTTCGGCGCGCACAGCATCGATCCACGTGGCAGATGTCTCTACTTCAGCGACAGGACTGTCAACCAGCTCTGGAGCATGGACCTGCTCTCTCCGTCGAGGAATCTCACCGGAATCGCGGGGTCGGGAGAGGAGGGAGCGCAGGATGGGGAGGGTTTGCGCGCCTCCTTCAGCAGTCTGACGGAGCCCGCGGTCACTCGCGACGCGTGCAACGTCTTCGTTCCCGACGGTACTGTTCTTCGCTGGGTGAAGATGGAGTCGCCGTGCATGACAGCCGCAAACGTCAGCACGATAGCTAGGCTGGAGGAGGGTGTGATGTTCAGCGCCTTGGCCATCGACCATCAGGACGCCTATCTGGACCTGTACGTCGGTACAACCGACGGATCGGTGTTCAGGTTGGCAATCGACGGAAGCAAATTGCAAGAGTGCCGCCAATCGCCAATCTCGATGTCGCCGCCAAGCTGGAACCCTCCCCAGGCCCCGACGAGCGCTTCATTCCATCCTTTCCGTGAAGGCGATAATTTGTCGAGGAGGAACGCAATGCCGTCGACGTCTACAGGGAAACCTAGCTCCTCAGACCTCTGGTCCGGTGTGCCTGGACCTCCCATCCTTGCTCCTGTCGTCTCTCTAACGGTTGTTGTCATTCTGGCAGCTGTTGTGTCTCTGTTTGTGAAGTCCTCCCGAGGGCGGGATGGAAGACCCCGATCCTTATTCTCAGCACTGGGATTGGGATGCTCCGGCAAGAAAGGCACAGACAGCCCCCCCCCCCTTGTCGGTGTCTTGGACGGAACCCCCCCCCCAGCTACCCGGGCATTCACGCTCTCGGCGCTCAAGGAATGTACGAGGAACTTTCATCAAGAGTACAAGATTGGCGAAAGAGGAGCGTTCGGCGAAGTGTAGTGGGGCGCTCTTGGAGACAGGGATGTGGCTGTCAAGGTGATGGACGGGCAGCTGACGACGGCAAAGAGGGCACAGTTCGTGGCAGAAGTGAATACCCTAAGCCGGGTTCATCACGCCAATCTCGTCGAACTCATCGGCTATTGTGATGAGGGGAATCGGTGCATGTTGGTGTACCCTCTGTACACTGGGGGGAGCTTGGACTCGAGGCTGCACAAGAAGCAGGCCGTCCGCCGATCGGAATGCCGTTCTCCACTGGCTCTGCCGCAGCGCATGTCGATAATTATCCAGATCGCACAAGGGCTGCGCTATCTTCACTACGGCGCCGTTCCACGGGTGCTGCATCGTGACATCAAGAGCAGCAACGTCCTACTTAGCGATGAGGATGGAGGGAGTATCCGAGCCGTTCTCGCCGACTTGGGAATGACCGCCATAGCCGAGGCTGTTCTCCGTGCAGGGAGCGACGACCATACTAATGTCCCTGAGACTGAGATGAACCTTGCCGGCAATGGCGGCTACATCGCCCACGAATACGCCATCAGAGGGAGATTGACAGCGAAGAATGACATGTATGCTTTTGGCGTCGTAGTGTTGGAGGTCTTTACGGGACGGCGGGCGATGATGCGGGATGATGACAGCTGTCAACCGCTCGCAGAATGGATTTCAGGCCGCTTGAGTGGTGCAAAGTTGGGCGACATTCTCGACAAGATCGTGGATGAGAGTCTGCAGGCAGAACTTGTGAGGGACGCGGCCAGTAGGACGATGGTGATGGGCGCGATCCGGATCGGGTTAGAGTGCACGCAAGCTGATCACAAGCGCAGGCCGAAGATGACCGCTGCCTGCGAGCGGCTAGCGACCATCATGTCAGAAGCGGCGGACCAAACGCGAGGGCGAGGTTGATTGATGGATGGCGCTGTGTTGTGTCTTCTCCTTCTTCATAATCTATCTTCTCTGTTCTCTCTTGTTAGTATGTTAGTGTGTCCCTGTTGGATTCTTCATTTCAAATCTAGCATTGACGTTGCTATAGGCTGTGTAATTATATACATCTGTGACTGCTTGACTAAGGCTTCTCGGAGGTTATTTATAGGAAGGATATGGCTCGATCAAACGCGAGGGATAGGAGGTTATTTATAGGATCTGGCTGGATCATCGACGACGTGTTTCGTCGTTGCGAAGGCCGGAATCGACCTGTCAAGTTTCAACGTGTCACTAACACGATGCTATGACGTGTCTGACTTGCGTGATTGTTCGTTGCGTCTGCCGGTGGAGATGCAAGCGATGCAGCAGATCTGCTTTGCCACGGATTGCGTGGGGTGAAACACAATCGTCGTCAAACTCACAGGGACAGTGGGATCGCCACGGAACACGGGTCCGCTCACGGCGAACTCCGATCTTTGTGCAGCGCCGAGCAGTTTTTGCGCATTCGCTTTTCGAGCTGGGAAGACTGGAGTAGAGACACAGGCGAGAATGAGGGACGGGCTTACGTGCGCGAAAGACTTCGCAATGTCGTTAACCGAGAGAAGCACGCAGAACAGTAGAGATAGATGGATAGACGGAAATATTGATAGATGGACGGATGGATAGGTAGGCGGATTTGGGGGGGGCGGATGTGTGTGTGTGTGTGTGTGTGTGTGTGTGTGTGTGTGTGTGTGTGTG